TAGAGCTGCCGGGCCGGAGGGGCAGTGTTAGGAGTGATGGCCTTTGTGAGCAAGACGAACTGCCTGCAACGACGAGTCCAGGTCAGTCAGTAAGTAAAGTAGTTGGATATAAACAAATGAGATACAGTCTCAATATAATATGAAGAATTACTTATCCACTATCTTAAACTGAAAGAAGCAAGAGACAGAGGCCAATACCCTCATCTTAGGACTGTAGCATTAGTGCTGCGTCCTTAGCACTGTACTTCCTTAAATTTGGGGGAACCACGGGAGACAGTTGAAATAACAGCTTTCTGTAATTTATTTGGACATCACTGCAGCACACACACACACACACAATTGGTACCTGCAGCAGTGTTTCCATGCCAGGTGATGCAGTTCGAGCACATTGAGAACCAGGGAGACGACCGACACAACCAGCATGAACACTATGAAGACATTTTTCTCTGTCGGCCTGGAGACATAACAGTTCACCGGATGTGGACATGGCCTGGCCTGAGAGGGAGGTTGAGGAAGAATGACAGTAGGCCTGCACATGTTCTAACAAATGAGTTCACAGTAATTCAGATTTCTGGGTTTACCTGGCAGACATAGAGAGAATTGAGAAGGATTCCATACAGGTAGTACTGCAGACACAGAAACACCACCTGTATAGAGGTTCAGTCACAGTCAGCTGTGTAGGGTAATGTAAGAAGCAAACTTTCCATTGTTTATTTTGTGCACGAGAACTTATGTGCACATTTCACATTCCTGCCAGTGCATTCACATCATTCCCCTGATGAACAGCTACTGTTAATGACATGCATGTGCAGGTTAAGACACAGACGATCTGCTTGAACACTGAATATAAAGATCACTTTAGTTTGTCTAGAAGAAAACTAACATCTTTTGTCTTTATAACTCTTGGTATCTACCAACTTCTGATAAAAAGCTCTGTCTTTAGCTGCTGAATGCGCCACCTTCTTCACCAGCTCGTTGATGATAGTGGTGCAGTGGCTTTATCAGAGCTTGTTTGAGATGAGAGAGTGCTGAGGCTCAGTCGTACACTACCTGAGCAAATAAAACCACAACTGTTGCCTAAAAAAGGCTTAAAAGTAACATTTACCTCCATGACGCTTCGTATGAGAATACTCATTATGTAGGTCTGAAGCAGAGCTCCCCTCAGGCGAACTCGACCTGATAATGGACCTTCTCTTTTCTCCTTTCCTCCATCCTTGTCTCCTTTCCTTCCCTGTTTTTCCTGTCCTCCACCGCCTCCACCTTCACCTCCTCCTGGGTCCTCCTCTCTCCCATCCCGCTCTCCTCCGTCCTGCTCTCTGCTCCTCCTCTTCTCCTCTCTGCGGACAGTGTGCATGGCGTGGCCCATGTAGATGAGACTCGGAGTGGACACAAACACAATCTGGAGTACCTGGGAGGTTAAAGGTTAGTGACACTCAAAATCAAAGGAGTAAACCAAACATTGAGCAGGATGTGATGCAGTGCTGTTGCTTACTTTACTGACAAACATTTTAGTTTTTGATTTAATATTTACCAGGTGCCCATTAGTTTCTGTTAACACTGGTGCTGTATGTACAGTGGGTATGGAAAGTATTCAGACCCCCTTAAATTTTTC